CCCAAGCTTCTGGGTGCAGGCAAGCTAGCGGATAGCTTCTTGAAGCTTGCATTCGCCCCATAGGACGCACACACATTTCCCCTTCATTTTTGGAGGGGGAAAAGTGCGTCCTATAGGGCGAAAAATACGGTAATACCAACAATAATGATGCCGGTGGGGGGCGGGGTAGAATTTGAGCTGGTTTGCCCAATCTAAGCCTCAATCCTATGCAGGAGTGCCAGCTTGGCTCTGCGGCTGTGGGTGCCTGAGGTCGTGGGTGCTACGCAGTGTGCATTGCCCTGGTGCTGAAATTTGTGGGTGCCTGGCCTCTTCATGGGGAATGTTGTGGGTGCTCAGGCACCCAGGGAGCCGGCACCTATGATCCTATGCAAGCAAACTAGGGAAGTAAGCCTCATCAAACTCAATGGGATTTACCACCAAAGGATTGAGCTGTACAAATCTACAGTGCATGTGGGTTACTGAAAAGAGACAGCTGCCTTCCCACCTCCTCTACAGCCCTGGCTGGAGTGGGATCAGCTTTGATGGATCATGTGGCAAAACCTATAGCAGAGTTACACTGAGTGCAATAATGAGACAAAGGTATTTGCTTTGTCTCCTGCAGCAGCTGCCTGGGTGGTTTCTGTTCTGCGGATGAAACTGAGCAGCTTGCTGGTTTTTATCCAGTGGTGAATTAATGTGAGGAAATGACGGTTTTTAATGCTCAGATGCAGCACAGTGAGATTTGCTGCTGTGCCGCTGCTAGGCCGGAGACAGGAGAGGCTCTGCAGGGTGGTATAGAAAGGAGGCTGCTGTCTGGTTCCCTGGAAAGTTGCCAGTAACAGGGAGCTGTGTCTGAGACTGAACTACACCTGTGTCCAGACTGATTCCACAAGCTGAACAGAGCCAGTGTGGTTAGAGTGTTGGACTAAGACCTGGGAGACCAGGGTTTGAATCTCCACTCAGCCATGAAGCTCACTGGGTGACCTTCCAGCCAACCTACTAACTTTTAGCCAACCTACTTCACATGGTTGTTGTGAGGATAAAAACGGGGAGGAGCAAAACCCAGTAAGCCACCTTGAGCTCTTTGGAGGAAAGGTGGGATATAAATGTAAATGAATAAAACTAGCAAAGGATGTGCAAGTTACTTTACTCCCATCTCAAGTGTGTACTCTAGTCAGTCAGAGACTACAGAATAGTCCTTTGACCCTTTGGCTCCAGGACCAGACTTCAGATAAGATGCTTAGTCACTGGTAGGTTGAGCTATATACCAAAAAGTTATCCTGATGAGTTTTCTACAGCTGTATCCATTGCTTTAGTGCAGTGGTGGTCCAGTGAAGATAACGGATCCTACCATGTGGCAGAGCAGCTCTCTGCTGAATCTGAAGCCCTATTAACACACCATTACAATGTTGAAACAAAATTTTAAAAATTCCTTCCAGTAGCACCTTAGAGACTTTGTCTGGAAGGAATTTTTTTATTTTGTTTCAACTACGGCAGACCAACACGGCTACCTACCCATTACAATGTTGTGCACAAAATTTGCAAGGGGATTCAAATGACAGTAGATGCATGGGTAGCAGTGGGCAAATCAGCTCTCAAGTATATTATTATTATTATTATTATTATTATTATTATTATTAATTGAATTTATGCACCTCCCTATACCTGGAAGTCTCATATCAGAGCAAGTGTCTCCCCAAGCACACAGGTTTAAGAGGCCCAGGCATAGAAGTTTTATAATCTCTCAATAAAATCTCACTTAAGCAAAGTAAACCTTTGGAAAAGTCTCGTAGATTTGCCAGTCAAAGGCTTGTCTGGGACACTCTGTGTGCTGGGGCTGCACGTCTGGCTCGTCCCTGAATGTTAGCTTTGATTTCATCCCTGAATAACATAAATAAATAAAAACCCTGAAGCTCATTATTAATAATAGAGCAGTCCTGAAACAAGGAGCTGTACATCTCTGCTCTCTCAAGGTTCTTGCACAGCAGCAGCAGCAAGAGTTCAAAATGCTGTTGATCCCATCTGTTTGTGTGCCAAGACCACAGAGGTAGGCCTCGAGCGAGAAGGAATGCTGCCTGGCAACGCTTTGAAGTTTGGCCTCAAATTTTGGTGACATTTTTTGTTTAGTTTAGTTTCTGTTTGCACTTTGGGGATGAAATAACCTTGATATGTTTTAAATGTATGCCCCATACATTCAGCTCTTACGAGCAAAGCCCCAAATATGTATCACATTATTCTAATAATAATAATAATAATAATAATAATAATAATAATAATAATTTATTATTTATACCCTGCCCATCTGGCTGGGTTTACCCAGCCACTCTGAGCAGCTCCCAATCAAATACAGTGGTACCTCAGGTTTCATACGCTTCAGGTTACAGACTCCGCTAACCCAGAAATAGTGCTTCAGGTTAAGAACTTTGCTTCAGGATGAGAACAGAAATCGGGCTCCAGCAGCGCAGCAGCAGCAGGAGGCCCCATTAGCTAAAGTGGTGCTTCAGGTTAAGAACAGTTTCAGGTTAAGTATGGACCTCCGGAATGAATTAAGTACTTAACCTGAGGTACCACTGTATTAAAAACACACTATTATACCCCACCATTTTTCTCAAGGTGATGTACCTGGTTCTCCCCCTCCTCATTTAATCCCCACAAGAGCCCTGTGAGGCAGGTCAGGCAGTTACTAGCCTAAGCTTGCCCAGTGTGCTCCATGGCCAAGTGGGGATTTGAACCCTGGTCTCTCAGGTTGGACACTCTGACCACTACACCACACTGCCTCTCTTATATTCCTGGGGTACCACATGGATAAATTTAGGATGCAATCCTAAACTTGCTTGCTAGGGAGTAAGTCCTATTGAATACAACGGGGCTTACTTTTTAGTAAGCCTTCATAGAATCATAGAATTGGAGGAGACCCCAAGGGTCATCTAGTCTAACCCCCTGCAATGCAGTAATCTCAACTAAAGCACCCATGACAGATGGCCATCTAACCTCTGCTTAAACACCTCCAATGAAGGAGAGTCCACCACCTCCCGAAGGAGACCGATAAATAAATTGATTTTATTTATTTTCTTATATTTAGATCCCACCATCAGGGGCCCAAAGTAGCGTACGTGTGGTCCCCCATCTGAGCACTAACCACACCCAGAGGTATGGGTGGTCACTTCAATTACCTCAGTGCAGTGGCATAGCGTGGGTTGTCAGCACCCGGAGCAAGGCAAGTAATTTGCGCCCCCTAACCCGTAGATTTGCGCCCCCTAACCCGTGGATTTGCGCCCCCTAACCCTAACCCCCAGATGTTGCGCCCAGCCCCCCCTGCACCCCCACGCTACGCCACTGCCTCAGTGGCAACTGGTGACGGTTTGGGCTGGTAGGGTGGAAGGCAAGTGGAGTCAATGCCAATAGCAGGCACAGCTGGCTAATTCTATGTTATACCCCTTCCCTGCTGAGTTTCCCAAGGGGCAACAGCAAGACTAGAGGAAGAAACTGGCCTGCAGCAACAGCCCCTGCTGTGGTTCTAAGTAAAAAGGTGAGCAAGTGGGGGCTGGCTGAGGGCAGGTTGAGGTTGGTGGTGCCCCATGTGCCCTAATGGACTAGCCCATGGGTAGGCAAACTAAAGCCCAGGGACCGGATCCGGCCCAATCACCTTCTAAATCCGCCTTGTGGATGGTCCAGGAATCAGCATGTTTTTACATGAGTAGAATGTGTGCTTTTATTTAAAATGCATCTCTGGGTTATATGTGGGGCATAGGAATTCGTTCATTCCCCCCCCCCATATATAGTCCGGCCACCCACAAAGTCTGAGGGACAGTGGACCAGCCCCCTGCTGAAAAAGTTTGCTGACCCTTGGACTAGCCTCTCTGGGATTTCACTGTATTTTTTTCCCTTTCCCTAAACATGCGTAGGACCAGGACATTAAAATGGATGGATTATTGGTTGAACATTAAAAGGAGGAAGGAGTTTCTCCCCAGCCCTGGATATGAAATTACGCTCCTTCTCCAAGGTATTGGAACTTTGGACAGGAATCAATAGCCCTGCTTTTGTAAAGGCTTAAAGCTTACAAACAGAATCAAAACACAATAAAATCAGAGCAGTCATAGGAAACACCTATTATTATTTTTTAATGTTAAACTGATGGGCCCGCTCAAACTTGGTGGCTGCTGCTCCCGCATTTTGGAACTCCTTCCCTAGAGAAGTTAGACTGGCTCCCTTCTTATTGTTCTTCTGCTGGCAAGTTCCAACCTGCTTTGCTGAACTAACTGCTTTGAATGAGGGGGCTAGTGCCCGGCTGTTTTTGTTATGATTGTCTGCACATTTTCAATAGATCTTATATAGATTTAGTTTTAATCCTAATGTTCAATTGTTTTTTTAATGATTGGTTCCCCCCCTCCCCCGCGCACATGGTTTTAGCTGTTATTTTATCTGTAAACTGCTTTGAGTCGCTGTTAGCGTAAAGACAGCGCATAATAACAACAATAACAACAGGCACCCACAATACACGCTTGCGGGGCGTCCTTCTGCCCACTTTTAGTACTTTGTCAGTATACACTGTGGCAGAAGACAGCAAGACACAACAGGCGCGTTTAACTTGCCGATGTTCTAACCTCTGCCCCGCCCCCGCTGTATATCCTCAGATCTCTATCATATCTGGAGGACGACACTGTTGGCATAGGTGACACACGATCTTTTCTTTCCCCATTTAAAATGGGCAGTAGGGATGGCCAACGGGGCACGGCAGCCGTTCACAGAGCCTGGTTGCTGCGGGACGAGACGAGCCCCCATGCGCGGGTGACAAGAGCTGCAGGTTCAAGAAAAACCCTCCCTCCCTCCCTCCCTCCTTCCTTTCTCTCTTCCCTGCCCACCTTGTCCCCCCGCCCCGCCCCGCCCCGAAGGGGAATAGAGTTACTAGGCAGCTATTGAGTCCTTAGCGACGCCCGTCCCCGCTTCTCCCCCTCCTTTCCCTTCCACCCTCGTTTGGACCAATGGGAAGTGTTGGAAGTATGCGTGTCACAAAGGGCGAGGGCGGGATAGAAGTCTTGTGTGGGAGGGAAGAGCAGGAAGATGTTTCTCCTGGGCATTGGGGAGCAGCAGCCTGGGTATACTGGAGGCTCCCTCCCCTCCAGCCCGTCCTCTTCTCTTCCTCAGAGCTAACCTGCAGACAGGTGAGTAGCAGGTCTGGAAGCAGTAGGGCAAAGAATAATAAGAAGAAGACGTCTACTAAGGAGCCACCAGCTTCACAGAACACACAAAGTGCCTGGGCAGGACACTTTGCCCCACTGCTCCCTGGCTGTTGCACACTGAGCAAAGAAGTAGTCGGAAGATGTTTACCTCACTTTAGGTGCAGGGCCAGTTATCCTCCAAGGAAGGGTGGCTTCCTTGGAGACAGGGGGTTGCATCTGCCTGTGGGAAATGAGGCAAAGGGATGGAGAAGCTGGTCAGGAGAAGCAGTCAAAAGAATGTATTCTTGAGCCACTCCAAAATTAATAATAATCCACTGCACAGACCACAAAAGAGCCACTTACTGTCAATAGGTGGTAAGGATGCTGTGAAAAGGGGAGAGCAGAGGTGTGGAAAGTAATGGGAGGGAAAATAGGATATAGACATATGTAATATTAACTGGGAGCAGGCAGTGCTGGAAAACAGCTTTTCATTACCTTTATTGTCAAGTTTAGGTCATGAATAAATGTAGAGGTGTGGGATTTAAGTAACAGAAGGAATATAATTTGCTTAGGTGGGAGGAGGATTTGCTGCCATGTGAACATCTTCACCACTTTCTCCACGTTATTCCGTTTCCAAGACCTGAATATGCGCTGGATGTGACAATGAATAGATCTTAGTGGTTTGCCTGGAATAGAGTAGCAGAGTTCATTTTTTAAAGAAGAATCACACCTCAGCAAAAGCACAATATAAGTACAGACATTAATCCATTGCACAGTGGGTAGGATTGTGCTCTCATGCTTAGTAATAATAGTTGTAGTTGTAGCAGTATAGTTATTGTTATTTAGATGTCTTAAGCCCATTCTGTTCCCAAATACTGTAATAAAATAATAATGTAAAAAATAAAAGACAAACTCTTTATCAGTGTAAGAACACATCCTCAGTCCATGCCCAGTGGAAGAAAAATGCATGTTGGAGAAAGAGAAGTAATATTAATGAACTAGATAAAGGTTAAAGGGCAGCAGATAACACAGAACAGGTGCAACAGGAAAATTACAGTGGATGAAATGTATTGGGAGAGTCTCCAATTTTCATCATTTCTGACCATTGGTCATGTTGGCTGAGGCTGATGCGTGTTGGAGTCCAGCAACAACTGAAGGGCCACAGGTTCCACATTCCCAGTTTAAAGGATGGAGTTAGCTTATTAGCAGGTGGTATGAGAGGGCTATTGCAGAGGGAACTGTGTGGTGGAAAGCCCTCAAGTAAACGTGAGAAAAATGCAAAGGGGCCACAACTGCACAATAAGTTTTGTGAAGCAGTAAGGAGCCAGCACAGAATGGAATGTGATAAGAGTTCTCATAAAGAACTCATCCACTATGAGTACGTTAGAACCATTTGTCCTCTATGGGCTTGGAAGACAACCAAGAAAAAGCTGATGAAGGAAATATTTAGGTTGAAAATGAAGGTGTTTTTAAATAACCATCACCCTGCCTGATGAACTTAGAGAGGCATTGCTATATCCACAATCCACTCTTGTAACCAAAGTGAAGGTTACCTCCGCTGAATGGATTATTCTGTGTTTGTTACTGGATTGTGTATTATGTACGCTGAAGTATTTACATTAGATAGCAATGCATATTAGATTTCCACTAGCATACAATTAGGTAAGTGAAAAGGACAATAGACTGCAAGTCAGCTTGCGGTCACTTGAGCCAATAATCTCTCTGTGTGGTTACATTCTCCAAGGTGAGCTTTGAAGATAACTTCAGAAATGTTATTATGTTTTTTTCAAAAGACACTGTCAAAGAGCTCTCCTTGGGTGATCTCTTTTGCTAAGTATATTTGCTGCAAACCAGTGACTTCCATATAATTTCATTCATATATATATATATATCCACCTGGTCAAGATTACAGTTGGCTATGCTATGTTGACTTTCCTTTACTATGTCATCACCATCAGTCAGGGCCAACATTGCAGAGCTTGATTTATATTTGTGGTGTACATATGATTTATATGTATATAAATAGTGGGTTTCCCCTGCTAGATATATAGGCAGACTACTCAGAAAGAGCCCCTGTATTGGGATTTGCTTGCAAACGTCTCACTTATTGGATTGTGAAAACAACTGCACATGCACTTTGACACAATGGGCCAGTGCAACTGGCTGTTAACTGGAAGGTTGGTGGTTTGAGCTCACCCAGGGATGGCTGTGGGCTGGATTCCTTCATTGCAGGTGGTGGGACCAGATGACCCTCAGGATCCCTTCCAACTCTTCTCTTCTATTATGATTCTAGGACATGGATTGTGCAAAGTAGATGTGGGAGAGAGAATCCATTTTGTACCAATTAGCCCTTGGAATTAGCCCAAAATACAGCAAACTATGTGTGGACATCCTTAAGAACAAGGTCCATCTCCTTCAGCATTCTGAATTGAGAAGCAGCTCTGGCTCCAGTTGCTGCACCTCAGCATTCCAGGGTGGGAAATAAAGAAAATCCCACATGCCTGAAACTTCCCCATCTCCCCTTACTTATATTGCTGTCAGGATGCTGTCAGCAGCTCCCAGCTGGTTGCCCAGGAAAGTATAAAGACAAGGAAAAGTTTCTCACAGTCCTTTTTTATTTCAATCTTTACAGAGAGAGGCTATAGAACCCAGCCTCTTGGATAATGGCGTTGGCATGAGTGAATCCCCACCTACCACCTCTCCCATTTCCTCATTCGTCATCCTCATCATCTCCTCTATGGGTGCTGCTAAGTGCCCTCTGTCTTTGAGCTCTCTGCTCTCCTACTTTTAAGGCTCTCCGGGTTCTGGAAGATGAAGGGTCTGGAATGCTTTCTAATGACAACGTGTCAGCCAGGTGTTGCTCTGGCTCTCCCATGATTTCCCAATCTCCCCTCTCATCTGACTCTGAGCTGCAACCTCCCTCAAGCCCCTGTTGTAAATCTATAATGTCTTCCTCTTCCTCCTCCCTGAAAGGGTCAGGATGGGGAGGTGGTCTCCACCATTCCTTCTCTGCCTAGTCCCTGACAACTGCACTCTCTTATCCCACCCCATTGCCCACAATTCCCTCATCTGCAATACTTACGCTTTGTCATTGCTGCATCTATTGTCATTGCCATTGATGCAGTGAGATAACTAGGTAAGAAAGTGACTCATTCAATAACACCTTGTGAACTTCATAGCTGAACGGGGATTTGAACCTGGGTTTCCCACAAACAAGTCTAATAACATGCTACAGTGGGGTCTGTAAGATGGCAGGTGTAAACCCCACTAATGAGACTAGTAGAATAGGCTTGTTAATTCAGTGTCCAAAAGCAAAAGAGGTGCTCTCTCTCTCTCTAGATTAACCCATTCATTTTCTATGAATTTGCATTAAAATTGGGTTCATCATGGGACTGACCACCTTGTTGCCATAAGAGCTGCAATGGAACTGGACCAGAGGTGTGCTTGTCCTCTTTGGAGAAGTTGTTTGTATGAAATGTACCACTTTCTGTTATACCAAGCAAAATGCTGCTATAGTTGGGTGCATAGTGGTAAGAAAAGCAATATATGGGGGTCATGGTTGCTTAGACACTCATAGACATGAACCCTCTCTAGACTACCTGCACAAGTGTTCATTAAATGTGTTTTATTTTTCTAGCTCTTCTTTGATATAGGAAACTTGATTGGATAGACATTTTTAATCATGGAGCTTGTAGGCTCTACCTTGACGGCAACATATGCCCATCCAAGACCAACGCCCTCAAATTTTCTGCCGGCCATCAGCACCATGGCATCGAGCTATAAGAACAGATTCCCTCACTATGCCCTGACCCACAGCTTGAGCCTTCCTTGGAGACCTAGTGCCTATTACAAAGTCGCTGCTATCACTCCAACTTTGGCCCCCTTCTCCAAGAGTTCTCAAGGGCTCACGCCATGCAACATGCTCCCCTATGTTTCCAACAGAACAGCACTCTTCACTAGGTACACTCCCGAAGACTGGTATAGAGCTAACCTAACAAATTTCAAGGAATCAGAGGCATCACGCCACAATGCCGAGAGGTTGAGGGTGGACACTTCCCGGATGATTCAAGACAAGGACCAGCAGATAAGGAAAACCCAAACGGAATCAACAAGAAATCTAGGAGAACGAGTCAATGACATCATATTTTGGAAATCAGAGCTCAACCACGAGATTGATGGAATGATTGGGGAGACAAATGCTCTTTCAGATATGAAGAAACGACTTGAAAGAGCCATATTAGAAACAGAAGGGCAACTCCAGGTAAACAGGCAGATGGTGATGATTATTATATTAATACCCCACCCATCTGGCTGGGTTGCAGTAATGCGCGGGTGGTGCTGTGGGTTAAACCACAGAGCCTAGGGCTTGCCGATCAGAAGGTCGGCGGTTCAAATCCCCGCAACAGGGTGAGCTCCCATTGCTCAGTCCCTGCTCCTGCCAACCTAGCAGTTTGAAAGCACATCAAAGTGCAAGTAGATAAATAGGTACCGCTCCGGCAGGAAGGTAAATGGCGTTTCCGTGCGCTGCTCTGGTTCACCAGAAGTGGCTTAGTCATGCTAGCCACATGACCCGGAAGCTGTACGCCGGCTCCCTCAGCCAGTAAAGCGAGATGAGCGCCGCAACCCCAGAGTCGTCCGTGACTGAACCTAATGGTCAGGGGTCCCTTTACCTTTACCTTCAGACTACTAGGGGCCATGCAAACACAGCCATGCAAAACTCTGCTTAGGGTTCACCTGAACCCATTTGAGGTTATTAGGCAACGATCCAAATCATCAATATATGCTCTCTCTTTTGGCAAATGAGCACACCAGAGCTGTGTTAGGCTTAAGAAGCCTGCCTTTCAAACACTGGTACTCCAACTGCATCTATGGCTGGGCTTCGCGGCTGAAGTTCAAGCCGTGCATTTCATAGACATCTGAAGGCAGCCCTGTTTCTGGAAGCTTTTAATGTTTTATGTATTTTTCCTTTATATTTTGTTGGAAGCCGTCCAGAGAGGCTGGGGCAACCTAGCCAGATCGGCAAGGTGTTCTTGTAACAGTGATAAGTTACTGTTCTTGTTTTATTCCATAATATACTACTTTATACCACTTTACATGTTAAAAACACAGAAAGATAACTTTCACCATTTTCCCCTGTAATGTCAAACAGGTAGCCCAGGAATGTCTGCTTCACCGAGAGAAGAGGATGGGCATTGACCTTGTTCATGATGATGTGGAAAAACAACTAATGACAGTGAGTTGCCCGTTTAGTACATAACATGAAATTTGTAGTTTTTAACTGTGGGCTAGTGGTATGTTGTATAGTAAGTAGCTTTGAACATATATGCAAGTGTTTGTTTATAGCAGGGTTGGGAAGCCTTTGTTCTGTGAGATGCCGTTGGACCTCCAATTCCCATCAGCTCCGGCCACCATGGCTAGTGGTCACATATGAGAGTTGTGGTCCAGCAGCGTCTCTAGAGAACTGCAGGTTCCCCACTCCCAGTTTGTACCCTGACCTTTAAAACAGGGGAGGTCTCGGAGTCTTAAATGTGGTCTGCACAAGGCCAGATTTAGGTTTGATGAGGCCCTAAGCTATTGAAGGTAATGGTGCCCTTTATATGTCCATCTGTCCTTTGTCAACAACAAATTGTCACTGTTTTTTGTGTTGAATATATGCTATATGGTAATTTATGGACCTAATAGGTATCTAAATCCATTTTATTTGTTTTTATCTTATATTTTGGAAATGTACATCCAGGTTTTTTTCCTTTAAATTCTTTTGGGGGCGCCAAGAGAGTGGGGCCCTAAGCTATAGCTTGTTTAGCTTATACGTAAATCCAGCACTGGGTCTGCACGGTGCTGTCCTTGTCATCTCTTTCTGCAGCTGTAAACAATACTGTGGCAGAGAGGAGGAGCATTTCAGTGTACTTCACGTAAGTGCTTGTCTTCAGGGTCAGGAGCAGGTACAGAATAAAAAAGCCAGGAATATCCACATCAAGCCTTTGCTGGCTACACAGAGGTAACTTCAAACTGATACACATTGACCTCAGCCATTGAAAGTTGAGAAGTGGGGGCATATGAGAAATAAGTGTAACATCCTATTACAAGGGATAAATGCACAGCGAGTATATTGCTATAGTGCTGCATGTTGAAATATATTTTTAGTAGAAAGGCAACTAGTCTGGAAATGGAGGACAGCAAAGTACTGCCTTGGCAGTCCACCATCTGAATCAGCTCAGCAGCAGCCTGCCTGTGATTTATTTTTTTTTCTTCCAGTAGTTCCTGGACAGTATTTAGGAACCTCGCTGGAGCCATATCAGGCAGGAAGTTTCCCAAGAACAATTTTGTATTTATCAGTGCTAACCTGGATGTGCCTCCCAGCCTTGCTTTCCATGGTACATCCTGCCTCTTTGTCTTCCTGTATTTGCGCTGCCTTCTCTCCAGTGTTTGCTTCTTCATCCACTACCACTAGTGTTCCTTGCCACATGAACTGTCTGCTTATCTTTCATTTTCTTCCTCATATGTGAAGACAGTGACATCTTTCCCCTGTGATTTGTCCTATAATTACTGATTCCCCTCAAACATACATGCATACAGTGCTAGCCCTGCTGAAGAGCACAGAGCTCAGATTCTGGATCAGGAACTTCTCAATGTAGCTCAGTTCTGGCCCACCCCTGCTGACTATTGAGGTGCTTCAGGTCTTCTGCATGGTGTTCGCTTCATCGCAACATTTCCCTGCAAGAAAGGTAATTGGGCAATGCAGAGTCCCTTCTCACAATGTTATTTTAAAATCCTGCGTCACCTCCCATGATCATCAATGGAAGATTTCACACTGACGTCAATAACAGCAGCACCAACCCATTCCAATGTCCATTTCCAAGCCATCAATGTTCCTGCCACTCTGTCCAGAGCACAAATTTTGTTCCCTTAGAAATAGCACCGGCCAAGCCCTACTGTCATTTGTTCCAAGGTGCTTATTAGCTCATGAAAGCAAGCAACCTACAGCACAGCTGGATGCCACAAGCTATCTGGAGGATGCTGTCATCCAAAGGAAATAAGGAGTTTCCAATAGGGAGCGCCACATGGAAAAATCCAGTCCTTGGGAGCTGCCTGTTTCTTCATTTTCCAGAGCCAAGGCATGTGGGTATCAGGAGAGCTTCAGACATTAAATGTGTTTCTGGAAACCAAAGTCAAGCAAAATTGACTCTGGTTTGCTGAGAATGTATCACAGACAATTAGACAAATTCATAGACAATAAGGCTGCCAAAGGCTACTAGCCATGATGATGGTTCTACTCCCAATGTTGCAAGCAGTATGCTTCTAAATACCAGGTGCTAGAAACCACAGAAGGGGAGAGTACTGCTGCACTCAGGTCCTGCTTGCAGGTTTCCTGGGAGCATCTGGTTGACTGCTGTAAAAATAGGATGCTGGACTAGATGGACCAATAGCCTGATCCTACATAAGGACTGTTCTTATGTTCTTAAGTGGATAGAAAAGGAAGAAGCATGTGTGCAAGGTTCTCTACCCTGTACTAACCACCACTGCTCAGGACAGATCTATAGGCTAGTTTGCTCATTCACCTTTTGTAGCAAACCCTGGACTGATTAAAGTTTGGATTTCTTTGCACAGTCAAGAAATTGGCCATGCCCAATGAATTAAAAATGAGAAGCAGAATCACTTTCATCACTCCTGTTTTGGGGACCAAGCCTTCTGTATGAACAGATAGCAAATGGCCCATCTGTCTTGTCACATTAGCGTTAAAATTACTAGCCTTAATTTATATGTTGAATTTCTGGCAAGCTTCTCAAAGCAACTTACAACATGTATGCTCAGAGATATAATATATCATGAAATGCAATTATTATACAATGTAAAGGGTGAAAAGAAATTAAACATGGCAAGAGTTAAAATTAGAAAGCTCTAGTCAGTTATTATAAGGGACGCGGGTGGTATTGTGGTCTAACCCATTGAGCCTTGGGCTTGCCGATCAAAAGGTCAGCAGTTCAAATCCCCACGACGGAGTGAGCTCCCATTGCTTGGTCCCTGCTCCTGCCAAACTAGCAGTTCGAAAGCATGCCAAAAAGTGCAAGTAGATTAATAGGTACCACTCCGGCGGGAAGGTAAACTGCATTTCTGTGTGCTGCTCTAGTTTCACCAGAAGCGGCTTAGTCATGCTGGCCACATGACCCGGAAAAACTGCGGAGCAGACAAACGCCAGCTCCCTTGGCCTGTAAAGCGAGATGAGCGCTGCAACCCCAGAGTTGTTCACAACTGGACTTAACTGTCAGGGGTCCCTTTACCTAGTCAGTTATTGCAAATATCAAGGGGGGAACGGCTCTCCAGTCCAAAAGAATACTTCTGATGACTCAAGTTATTCTGAGCGTGCAGTGGTCTTAAGAAGGCCTCGTATTGCCAGTCTGCAAATTGAGGCTTTTGCGGAAGGGAATTCGAAAATATGAACCCCTGCAGTGCCCACCTACCAATCTGACCCAACAAATAGAAAGGAATTTTCATTGGTCCTTTCCAAACAATCTTAAAAGAGAGGACACTTACTCTTTTACTGGAACAGGGATAGCCAATGTGATGCCCTGCAGATGTTGCTGGACTTCAGCTCCCAGTTGCTCAGCCAGTATGTCCAATGGTCAGTGATGATACAGTTTTGTATTCCAGCAACACCTGGAGGGCGCAACATTGATTACTCCCGTGCTAATAGAATGGCAAACTACTAACCATCTTGTATTGCATTTTCTTCCAATGCTTGAGGAGGCCATAAAGGAGTGGATTTTAAAACTGTAATTCACATTATCCTTCATTAATCAAGGGAAATGTTGACAGGATTTTTTGCTATTGTAACTTGATCAGGAGGTTGACGTCATCCTATCATGCCAAGAGAGAATGAGAAGATACCTGGGTAAGACAGCGGCCCAACTTGCGTAAGGAAAATTTTAATCTCCACCTTTCTCAAAGGATCTTTAAAAACAAATTTTGATGCAAGCACCTCATCCATTTTCCCTGTAGTGCAACTTGAGGGGGAGAAAAGTCTCCAATATGCTTCTTGGCCTTTTCATTCAACAAGACCAGAAAGAAACCAAATGTCTAGGAGAGTTACAAAATTGCCTTCTAAGCATACATACTAAAAGGCAGATGTGCAAGATTAAAGATGACCCTGGAAGTTAGCTTTTTACCTAGGGGGATAATGGAAATTCCCTATGGGAGAACAGCTTGCCAAATCCAGTGTGCATGCCACCTTATAGAAACAGGGAACTAAAAGAATGTGAAACTATGGTTTACAAAGCTGGCTTGGTTCCATTAACCATAGTGAAGATTAACCACAGTTTTAGGGTTCAGGCATAACACTTAACTGTTTAATGGAAGCAGAAGCTTTTCATCTCTTCCATGTAGCTGTGCCAGGGGGGAAGAGGGGATGCACAAACCCAGGGCTCACGGGCTTGTACTCATCACACTAAGCGTAGTTTTGCATGATGTCTGAATCCAGCCAGTCAGAAGGGATAGATATAGCAGCGAGAAAGGCAAGGGAAATCAGGACAATAAATCATCTCCAACAGCCCATAGAGCTACCCCGATAGCAGCGCACAGATTTGATCCAGATGTCTCTCCACATATACTGAACTTGTTAAGTTTTACAAGAGACATCTGCCTCTCGTTGCTAAAGTGAACTGCTTTTCAACATTCCCAATCATGGTTACTGTTGAAAAAAGTGAAGTGCAAAAATACAGATTTTTTAAATATTCATATCCTGCTCCTAGGTGGGACTCCCAGTGGTCTCCCATCCAGATTACTGAAGCTTGTTTTAGTTCAATATAAAGCAGCTGATGCTCTCCTTCATCAGGCCCACATTTTTAAAAATGATATAGATACCATAAAATTAGTCAACAAGTTTTAACTATCTACTGTATCTATCCTACAAAGTACAACATTTTCTAATTCAAAAATTCACATTCTGGAGTGTTGGATTAGTGGTTTTCACAACAAACACATATTATGCAGACACCACACACACTTATGCTGAAAAGCTGATTAGGCCAGGGTTGCTAGATGTGCGTACACAGTGGGTACATGTGTGTATGTACATCACATGTGTGCTTGTGCTTGCTGTAGCATTTGCAATTTCATCTGTGCCAAATATCCACCCACATGCAACTTTGGTATGAAACTGGCACTTCGGTGGAATTGAAATGTTTGGCTTTATGATGATGTAAAACGGGGGGAGAGGGGAGCCTCGGGTCTATGAGGGTGAATGCAGACCTCCAAGCCTCTCTATCTTGCCTTCTGGAGTACTCCCCCCCAGCCCCCCCCCCACTCCTCAGCCGCCCACCCCTACTGACTGACTTTTGCACCCACCTGGAGCACTTCTTCCTGGCTTGTATGTATCCTTGCTCTCTGATAATGCTTCCCTGGATGGAGGACAGATAAGGCCGAGTGTAAAGATACCAGCCTACTGCACAAAGCTAACATTTACACTCATTGCTCTGTCAACCTTTGGCCCCACCCACCCATGGGCATGTGGCCCCCCAAAGGGAAAGTGGTCCTCAGTCTCAAGAAAGTTCCACACCCTTGCCATAAAGCCACTTCAAAGCGAGCAATGTGCTTCTTTGGCTCAGCCCTAGTAATAATGTATGGAATCGTCTTAAGTTCTTCTGCCTGAATGGTCAGTGTCTGACCATTCAGACACTGCATGAGATGTTAACGTCTTTACAGAAGATTTACTGTCTATAGAGAAACCATGTCTATGTTCCACGTGCAAAATGTGCTGTCTCTACAGGAGATGAATGCATGGTATAAGGCCAGGATTATAACCTCTGGTTTGTGCCCTAGTACACATGTTGATGATGTATGCAGTCAGTTCTGCCAATACAATACTGGAGTTCTTTATCATAGGAATGCCATAAACATGAAGTAAGGATTTAAAACTGAACATCTTACCATTGTCATGAAGGGGAAATAGAAGGTTGAGAAGGTGGTCTCGGGGTGTGGGGGTGTGGCTATTTATGTTGTAACTACTCAGGTTCTTTTCCCTTGAGCATCTTTTGACCCATTTTATTACAGAGCCAATAGAGCAGCCCAGCATGAACTGGAGAAAGACCTGAGTGACAAGCAAGCAGCTCAACGAATCGATGACAAGTGCCACCATCTCAGGAACACATCGGATGGCATTTCCTTTTATCGAGGCGTCGAGCGAGTTGATGCCACGTAAGTATCACCTGGAGCTGGGCATACAAGCACCAGATCTAGCCGCAGGAGGCATGCCAACAGAAACAAGGATTGTGCTACAGCTGACATTGGGTGATGCCAGGTTTCCTCTGATGCCTCATCCATGAAGACCATCACCTGATTCAGATGATAACACATGTGTGTTTGAGCCCCAAACTAGTTTGGGAGCATAGAACTGTAGAGTTGGAAGGGACCCTGAGGATCATCTGGTTCAACCCAGGAATATGCAGCTGTCCCTTACAGGGATTGAACCTGCAACCTTGGTGTTATCAGCAACCATGCTCTAACCAACTGAGCTGTCTTAAGCAATCATCTGTTATTCACTCTATTTCCAAAGATCAGGCTGTAAGTGCTGTTGCATATGGCACAATCCATGCACAAGAGGGGAGGTATCAGTAGGCTTGGGATAGCCCCAGGTTTGCAGAAGGGTGGGGTGGAAGCTAAGGTGAGGTGAAGAAAACCTCAAGCAGCCCAATAAAAACTGAGCCTGCTCAGTAGCCACAGAATGCTGGCTGGCTGTTGCGGGTGTGGAGGCAAATAGTGGGTGGGAGGGGAAATGGAATGGAGACACAAATGCAATGTTAGTGTTTCTGGCTTCTGCTTCTTCTTCTTCATTTAAACCCCTTTCCCTCCCTATTTCCCATCCCGAATTCCACAAGTAATCTAAAAAGATGCTCCAGAATTAGCATCCAGAAAATCTACTTAAAAGCAGTTACACTTGTTTAAAAAACACACCAAAAGTCCAACTAGTACTCGTGGAAATGTTAAAACATGCAATATATTGCCAATGTAGCTGGTATTCCTTCTGTATCCTCCAGGCTTTATTATTTCAGGAAGTCCCATGCAAACGATGTGTACAAACTCTTTTGTTTGTCTCTTTTTGTGCTTTCCCAGGATTTCTGTGCCAGAATCCTGGGCCAAGTTTACTGATGATAACATTATGCGCTCCCAGAGCGAGCGGGCTGCCTCCGGCAAACTCAGGGATGATATTGAAACGCTGCTCGTGACGACTGCCAATGAGATGTGGAACCAATTCAACAAAGTGAATGTTGCCTTTACCAACCGCATCTCTGAAACGGCTGATGCCAAAAACAAGATCCAGGCCCATCTGGCTAAGGTGGGATTCATTTCCAAACTTTCGGTTTGGGGTTAACTGCCTTCCCCTGCCTGCTTGCATGAATTGTCTGGAGCTAAGCCAATGTTAGGGACGCTGTGGGTTAAACCACAGAGCCTAGGACTTGCCGATCAGAAGGTTGGTGGTTCGAATCCCCGTGACAGGGTGAGCTCCCGTTGCTCGTTCCCTGCTCCTGCCAACCTAGCAGTTTGAAAGCACATCAAAGTGCAAGTAGACAAATAGGGACCGCTCCAGCGGGAAGGTAAACGGCATTTCCATGTGCTGCTCTGGTTTGCCAGAAGTGGCTTAGTCATGCTGGCCACTTGACCCAGAAGCTGTATACCAGCTCCGTCGGCCTAAAGAGCGAGATGAGCGCGCAACCCCAGAGTCGGTCACGATTGGACCTAATGGTCAGGGGTCCCTTTACCTTTACCTTTAAGCCAATGTTGTGCCCCCCAGATGTGGCTGGACTACAGCTCAAGGCATCCAAAACTGTCGGCTAGGCTAGTTGGGGTTGGTGGGAGTCCAAATCCGACACCAGGACTGCACGTGATTGGCTACTGTTGCTCTTCCTTGTGCCTGCTCTCAGCTTGTGGCACACACCACAGCCTTCTCCAACCTCCTGCAGATCTGCTACAAATCCTTGATTCTATGTGCCCAGCACTGAAAGCACAACAACTTGCGTAGGAATTGCATGGTGCCTTCACAAGGCATCCCCCACACCTGTGCAACACTGTATACACACAGCAGCTAGGGCTACAGTTGCGTAGCCCTGAACAATAAGCTATCATTGCACTGAGCAATTTTGGGTAGGGAGTAAGAAGACTAAATCCAGCCTTTCCTCCACTACTCCTCCAAAACATCAATGTGATTCCTGCTTATTTTACAAGGCACGTTTCAAATGGATTTATGTTTTGTGTCCTATTTTATGGATCAAGGCAGCATTTGAGTGTGACGTTGTCGTTAGAGTGTAGAATTGGGAAGATCTGGGTTAAAATCCCAACTCAGCCATAAAACTCAATGGGTGCTGTTTTGTCATTCTCTAGTTGTCAGACTAAACTATCTCACAGGGTTGTTCGGGGGGGGGGGGATTGTTGTCTGGTGAGGGGGGGATATGTGCTGCTTGGTTAAATGTAGACTTACCTGGGAGCAAGTACCATTAAACTCAGTGGGGCTTAGACATGCACAGGATTGCATTTTTTATTCCTTGAATTTCACTATAAAAAACAACATTTTCTGGAACAGAAAGGAGTACTGTCTAGTCTGTTGAGGAGGTCTGTAATCTTCTGGTTCTCTGTCTTAGCAGGGGTAGCCTAATGGTACATTCTTATAGTTAAATTATGGATCTTGCTCCCACAATAAATAGGGAAGACCACCAACTTAAATGGCTTTGAAAGGGCCTCGGACAAATTGCGGGAGGATAAGGCTATCAGTGGCTCCACTGGTGGATGCAGTATCCCAGTTGCTGATTAACAACAGCAGGAGAGGACTCTTATGCTCGTGGGCTTCCCACATGCATGTTTTTGGCTACTGTAAGAACAGGATGCTGGACTAGATGGGCCATTGGCCTGATCCAGATGGACTTTGACAGCTACATGCTGAAAATATATTTAAAGGGAGACAGCAACACTTGGTGAAGGTCCTCCCTTTTCCCCCTGCGTGAGCAAAGTGAGATAATGAATTGATGTGGCTTTTCTACAGTAATTAGATTGTTTAATCTCAGAAACATAGAGCTGGAAAGAGTCCATAGAGAGTTCATGCCTTGAAAAGGGACTCCTCCCCCACAACATGGGGGTTGTGGGAGAGTGGAAGAAGGAAAAAAAACCCATATATTTTTAAACCTCCAGTGTTGAAGAATCCATAGTCTCTCCAGGCAACTTTTTCCATAGTAAATCTGTTATTGCAATTAAAAAGTTCTTCTTGAATGTTCAACATAAATCTTCTCTTTCATCCTTTCCTGAGAAGCACAATATTTGTTTTTTCCTGTTCCCCAGTCTTCTTTTCTGGTCAGCTAAACATGCCATATTCTTTCACTCTGTCCTCAAAAGAACTCATCTCCAAGTTATGGGCATAGCCAGGATTTTTGTTAGTGGGTGCAGAACCTCAGATTTGTATTGAGGACAACAGATTGGGGCAGACTGTTCTATGCTGTATCTTTCTTGAGATGAGTATCCTCATTATTCTTGGGGATCCACTGCTTTTAGAGAGTTATTCAAGGGGCTTTCAGATGGAAGACCATTGAGTCAATGAGTCACTGCACTAAGTCTGGGGAACTCTGTTGAGTCAACATACCAGCTTCTGGATGGATTCAGGTTTTATTACAGAAGTGCAATAATAATAAAACATGCAGTGGGGGAAATCTCTACTAATGTACATTCTGTATTTAAGACAGGAAGACATTTGTTGTTGGGTTTTCAACCCCCTTATTCCTCCAACTTGCAGACTCTACAAGAAATCTTTGAGACAGAGATGACTATAGAAGCACTTCGTAAGGCCATCAAGGACAAAGGGTGTTCCTTGAAGGTTGCCCAAACACGTCTGGATGAGCGCTTGCGTAGACCCAACATAGAACTCTGCCGGGACTCTGCCCAATTACGGTAAGCAAAGGCAGCCATCTTGCTTCCTTGTGGGGAAGGCGGGAATGTGATGCTGTTTGATGAGTCTCATAAATTGCTACAGCCTTCCATGCCCTTTGAAAATAGGAACATAGGAATCGGCCACATACTACAGTACAGGCAAATTGTTCATCTTACCCAGTATTGTATCTTCTGACAAGACAGTGGCACTCCAAGAGATCTTTCCCATCACTTCATCCTTTTAACTGCAGGCACCAGAGACTAAACTTGTGGCAATCCTGCATGCAGAACATGTGCTCTGCCACTGAGCTGCAGTCCCTCCCTTGAGTAACCAGCCCTACCAGCTCTCCTTTGATGTCTACAGTCTTTTACGCCTAGAGGCATCAAGGGTCCAGCCACACATTTGGATGAAGTGCATTCATAAATCATCTGCAGATGAATTAGCTCCCTGGGCTTATGGTAATAGTGCAATGACCTTCCACAAGGCCTTTGTACCTTCTCAGGAAACTTGTTGGAATAGTTTCCTTCTTCCTCTGCTGGAAACAAAGCACTGAAACAAATTCTCCATCTGCTCTGGTGTGGTCTTGGGCCGTTATGACTGTCCCCTGCCGTGCAATGTTGAAGGTGTCATCAATGCTCACCAATATCAACAGGAACTTCAATCACACATCTCTTCGCATGAGATGGGTCCTCTTGCTAAGAATTAAAATGCTAGATTGTTTTGTGTTTGTTTTCTGGAAACAACAAATCCTCTTGGACAGATGATGGAGTATATTTACTCACATCATCTGTGAAAGCCAGCATATTTTCCTGCAGAAGTCCAGTTTGGTCCTGGGCCAAACAAGATGTAATGCACGTAATTTCATGCAGTGTTACCCCAACAACCCTTGCTTTAAACTGTAAATGCTGCTTCTGGGGAGAGACATGATTGGACTGGATCAGTGGTAAGAGACTGAGAGGGGTGCTTAGGCTTTTCCAAACCAGTGATTTTGCAGCTTTTCTTTTTGTTATATGCACTTGTATGTCTCTAAATTAACCCTTATATCTCCATTTGCCATTAATTCAGCCAGCAAAGACGACTAGTCCTCTGAACTTAATTGTCTATTTCAGGCATAGGCAAACTTGGCCCTCCAGATGTTTTGGGACTACAACTCCCATGACCCCTAGCTAACAGGACCAGTGGTCAGGGATGATGGGACTTGTATTCCCAAAATGTCTGGAGGGCCGAGTTTGCCTATGCCTGGTCTATTTCATCACATTTGTGTGTGTGTGTGCACGCACAGACCAGGAAGATATTAATCGGACCCATACTCTGCAATTGATGTAGGGAGACACGTAGGGTTAGATCCTGTCTAAGGCTGCAATTCCACCTTCTTTCCCTTATTTTGATGGCTAAGTAGTGGTGGTTAGGATGCAGTGCAGTTACCCCTCTACCAGCTGCATAAAAGCACAGCTCCAAATGGAACAACACTGCTGGAGCTGACGCAGCAAAAAGAGGGGGGGACGCCCCACCTTAACATTTCTGCACTTCCCTAACCCTTCCTAGAGTTGCTCTTCTAGTTACAAAGATTTATGTTAACTTCCTTAGTTGATTTAAGTGAGGCCTGTGAGCATCTAACTTATTCTGGATCTAACCCAGAGCCAGAAGATGCAAGCGCATATTCAGGTTATCCTGACTTTCTGACTGGTTAGGTATTGTGAATGAATTCTAGATCAGCTGGTTCCATCTTATATAGCAGTAACAAAGAACAACTGTTTCTTCTTGCACATTTCCTCTGACCTCCTTGGACCGGCCACAGCTGGAGACAGGAAACAGGGCTAAATGGATTGTTCGTCTAAACCAACATTGGTATTCTAAGGTTCACTAACTGGAAACAAATGGGCCTCACCTTAGAGTGCCCCCTTGGCACACTGAGTGCTTTTATTTACCTTTCATTTATTCACCACTCTTTAATTTGTGAATTCTGCTGGGTTTTGCCTACTCACATTAGTTGTCAGAGGAATGTGAACCCCATAAAAAAAACACACACACTGACAAGCCAGAATGCCAAAATGAGAACAGGAAACCACAGCTTTCCATTCTTTCTTTCTTTTTTCTCTTTCCCCCCTAAGTGGTACAGCCTGTCGCATGGACTTATTCCGTAATTCACTCTAAAGTTTTGTCTTGCTCATTTCATGGGGGAAAGGACTATTTACGACTTTGCTAAAAAGTACTGTGCTCGCTCCCTAATGGAAAGAGAGCCTGCTGAGCACTATCCTGAGCAAGGAGATCACAACTATTTTATTTTGTATTGAATGCCACCAAGAAGCAGGCGGAAGATTCACCAGCCAACCCCTCCAGGGGTTGTTGAATTACAGCTCCCATCACCCCTGACCACTGGCCATGCTGACTGGGGATTTGGAGTCCAACAACATCTGGAGGGTACCAGTGTGGCTAGAAACATGGAAGGAGGACTCCCTAGAAAAATGGAAAGCGGAGAACTTGCTAACATTCTTTCTTATGTTCCATGCAGCCTTGTGAACGAAGTGTATGAAATTGATGACACCATCCAGGACCTTCAGCAGAGGCTAAGAGATGCAGAAGATACGCTCCAGGCACTGGTTCACACCAAAGCCAATCTAGAACATGACCTGGCTGTCAAAGCAAATACGCTCTTCATTGACCAGGAGAAATGCATGGGGATGAGGAAGACCTTCCCCAACACACTGAGGCTGGTGGGATATACATAGGCTGGAGCTAACCCTCAAGGCATTGCGTGGGGGGATGGGAAATTACTAAAGAAGTATGTCTAGGGGAGGTTTGCTCTGTTGCACTTTTATGAAATTTTGAGGTGTTTATTTTTGAAGATATGACTATATTTTCATTTATTAAAGCATGCTCTGCACATGAATTTAGCTATCTTCTATTTGATGTGTCTTCCCTGTTTTTTATACTGATATTCTCTCCTTTATGGGATCTGCATGCACACAATGTTTATTGTGGGCAGCCTATGTCATACAGTTCAATCCAATGCATGTTTTTACTTGGAAGTAAGTCCCAATGAGTTCAGTGAAGCTTACTCCTAAGTAAGTGAGCATAGGATTGTGTCTAATGCCCTGGTTGAATACAAATAAAAGTGTGTGCAGAAGGGCAACTGTGTGCCTTTTTCCTTGAGTTGAGAGCTTGATCCTGAAGCTAGTCTGTTAGTATTCAGGACTGCCCAATTGTCTGTTCATGGAGTGGACTGAGGAAGGGAGACTGAATCCAGCCTTATGTGCCCCCTTCCCTCCACCCAAGCAAATGATGGATTCTGAACACTGATTATCTGATTATTTTTTGTGTTTGTGCAGCCCAAGCTCCTGGACCACACAGAGCCAGATCTTATTCTTGTCATCTCAGCCTAAATTTTTAGGCATCTCAAATTGCAACATTCCTTTGTTTTATTTGAATGGGGTGGATGGCACAAAGCTGTCTGAAATTTTTTAGCAATTAGTGTCATTAGGTGCTGATATTCATTTTGTATTTTTAGGTACATGGAACGATAAGCATGAATGATGTGGCATCAAATAAAGAAACTTCCCAATATATACCGTCCTAAGCTATCAGACTTTTATGTCTATGTTTATCTTCATCATTTTCCTCACTCTAAGGAAATTTCTGCATGTGTGGTGTAGTATTGTTATAACACTGTCTGTGCACCACCACACAGCAGAAGCATGTGCTTCAGTGACTGATGATACCTGGCAGCTCATCAGCATGGGCACCAAGGTAAATTTAGCAAAACATCAGCTTGGTTCCTCATGGAAACATTTTCACTTACTATGTTGGCATAAACAATGAGGCATCTCAGAAGGGAGCTGAAGATATAACAGACTGGCCTGTCCTATTTTAAAAACAGTAAGCCCTTTCCATATGAGCTTACAAGCCCAGCTCGTTTGGAGAGTGCAGCCAGAGTTATTTTGGTGGTTTTGGATAGATACATTTGAAATTTAAAGGCTTCCACTTATAAATCCACCCTCTGTAATTAGAAATCGCCAACAAATCCCTCGATTCCCAAATGGGCCTATAATGAGTATAGCATTCTGAAGACTGATGTCATGCAAAGTAGCTAGGTTCTGTTGGGTTCTCAATAAGTCAGTTCTTCCTTGCTGAGACAATTCAAACAGCTCACATGTTGTTACACCTGCATATACTGGGCTCTATTCTGTGAGCACCACTTGCCACAATATGTCCAACAACATGTCTATCTAGTGTTATCTTTCTAGAAAAAGGGGTGCCAGAGCTCACTATGAATGCCTCCCATGTTCTCTTATAATGACCATGATGACTACCTGAGAGGTGCTGGAACTGAGTTCCAATGAGTTCTGACTGGAATAAAAAGTCCTGTATCTGTCTTAGCTATCTATAAGTGACTTGGGGCCAAGGATGGAGCAGTTGGGTTTCCATTGCCCACTGCATTGAGTAAACACATTTCTGCTTTTCCACTTCTTGGCTGAAATCTCAGGTGGTTTTTCTTTTCAATTGGATTACCAAGCTCAAACCCTAGAACAGCCACAAATGTTTATTTAGTTGTCTAGTCTGAAGACGCCTCTGTTGTCTATTGCCTCTTGTTGTCCCTCTGGCACCATGCCAAAGCACTGCCCTTGGCAAGATCCTGTCCCACAATTTTTGCATTTTGGCAGAGTATCCTATCGGGACAGCAGGTCCAAACAGGAAGTAATTATTCTTGGCGACCTTTTGCACCAGCAGTTGGATCGCCTGTCGACTAAATATAGCCTCCCTCTGTTTTATACATAACTTCAGGGCTTGTTCATATTGAAGGCAGATTTTTATCTTTAAGGCTGTCTGGCCCAATATTCCATGTCCTTCTTTGGATTAAGATCTTCCTACTATCTCTTTGTCTACACACACACCATACATTTAAAACACATTTAAAGTGTGCCTCTCTCCCCTCACCCACAATGAATCCTGGGAAACTGTGGTGTTTAAGGGCACTAGGAATTGTGGTCCCATGACAGGTAAACTTCAGTACCCAAGATTATTATTTTTTGTTTTTTTGAAGGGATGTGCTTTAAATGTATGGTGTGTATTCAGCCTTTGCTTGTCCTTTTAGAATCTCTTGCCTACACAGAAATAAATCTAAGACCACTCTAATCCATTTAGACCTTTAACTTTCCTGGTAACTGATATTATGGAAGCAATATGTGGCAGTGTTCCTTTTTGTTTGTTTGTTTTGGACAGGGATGTGTTTTTTTAATTGACATTTCCTAAGCTCAGGAATTTCAGGCATTGCTACTGCTTTGGGGACTAGGGCTCCCAAATTTAGCATGGGCCAAGTTGCTAAATGTTTCCATTCTTGTGGGCAGCAGAAAGATATGTAAGAAAGCCATCTGAAAAGAAGGATGGGGCTCCTGTAATTATTTAGAAGAGGGAACATCAGCAGGTATAATCGGATGAAATTCCCTCTTAGGGCAGTTCCAGATGACTTGTTTATTGAGTATTCATCCTATCTGATTTCAGAGGGTTTGGGTGATGTTGGCTATTTAATGAGCATTCATTCTGATTAGTTGGCAAGGCTAGACAGAACTTAGGTCAAAGCAAGTGTTGTCCCACACTTTTCTACTGCATTCTTTCTATTGATTCTCTTATCAGAACAGCCTGATCTTTTGGGGATTCAGGTTTGTTGCCCAAGGCCTCCCAGTCAACTGCAGTTGTGCAACCTGAACTTGCTGGTGTGTGATTGAATCCTACCTGAAAACAGTGACAGTCTGGAAGTGCTGTTATTATTCAGCTATAAATGGCACAGAAAACCTGTCCTCTTTTGCTTCTGGCTATCTTAAAGACTTGGGGAGGAGTGAGAGAACAAGAAAGGAAATTTGAGAAAGAGAGAGGGGGAGGGAAGGAAGGAAGGAAGGAAGGAAGGAAGGAAGGAAGGAAGGAAGGAATGAATCAGGAGAGAGAGAGAGAGAGAGAGAGAGAGAGAGAGAGAGAGAGAGGGAGAGGTGGCTCTGGCCCTGCCTTCATCCAGCATACCTCCCACTCCAGTACCTACCGATAAGGAAATGAAGCAAAAGGTTCCACAGCTTGTTCTAATTTCTAGGGACAATTGCAGTTTAAGAAGCAAGCAGTTCCTCACAAGGTGAGAGGAGGATGTCAGGGCTGAGAACTGCTGCTCAATCTGACTGAGCAGCTGTAAACACAAACAGATGGCAAAGACCATCATTTTTATTTGAAGATCTTCGCTGAATTTCTCTGGGACTAGTTTATTATTTATTTATTTATTTGCAAATTGAAGAATACACATAAAAAAACCACATTGTTCTTAATACAAGAAAAAAGAGCCAAAAAAAGAAAAGCCATAACGAAAAGAAAAAAGAAAAAAAAGAAAAAAGAAAAGAAAAATACATGAACAATCTTGTCTAGTACATACAGTTATTTAAGGAATACAAACCATCATCGATAATTTTATAAACACTTACTTCCAGTAAGAACTCATTTTGTCTTCTTATCTTTTTTATCCTCAGTACTCTCACTTCCTTTTCTGTAACTGATTTCTGGTTTGTTGCCTTGATTTATTTGATGACTTCCTTCTAACCCTATGCGGTTCCTAATCTCTCATATCTTAATTTATCTGTATCAATTTTAAATCTGTGGAGAACCATCTTGTTTCGCAAAGCCCTACATCTTCAAAGGAAACTGACCCTACAAGTCTCACCAGCACTCTGGAAAGGGGGTGCACAACAACAGCAAGATCTCTTTCTCTGGAAAACATGTTCAAGGGAGAGCCATAGCTCAGTAGTAAGACACATGCTCAGAAGGCAGAAGTTCCCAGGTTCATTCCCTGAACTCTCTGGGTACAGCTTGGTATGACTCCTGTTTAATATGAAGGAGAGCTGCTAGGCATTCATTGTAGCCAGTGCTTTTTTCTAGAAAAATAGGTTCTGGGACTCACCATGAAGTTGTTACAGTAAGTGCCAAAGCTTTTTAACAAAAAGAAAAAGAGGTTCCAGTGATGTGTACTCTGGAGTACCCAAATATACTCGGAGTCCTGTAGTGATTTCATGCTCCTTATTGCAGCTTGTAAAACAGTGATTGAATTGCCCCCCAAACCTCAGGCTAATATATACATTATTTACACAATGAGTCCCATCTGATTGGCTGATTCTGCTTCCCTCCTGGAGCCTGATTGGTTTTTTCCTGCAGGCCAATCAGTTGTCGTATCTACGATCCTTACCAGCCTAGTGTTCTAGGATCCAAGCTTAGTACATAACAAGTACCCCCTGAAAAAAAGCACTGATTGTAGCATGGGGATAGGATGGAGAGGTAGATAAAAATTTGATGGTACTACTACCAGAATGCCCTGTCCCTGTTCTCAGCTTGGAATATCAGCCTGTTTGGCATTTTCAATATGGCAGCATTTGTCCACCATGCTTGTTTGAACAACTGCTTTCAAATTCACTTCTCCTTTTTTTTTTTTTTTTTTTTGCAACCTCTCCAATGCTTCAGCAAAGTATGCCCTGCCTCCTTTCTCCAGCAGATGCTTCATCCATTATAAAAATCCACCTATTCCTTGGGGAAATCCACATTCTTTCCAACCAGAGTCTCTTCCTCTATCACTAGCCATTCCCTTAAAGAATAAATCATAACCGTCTAGTTTTTACTTTTTCCTTGCATTCATACTTTCAGTGAAACTTCATGCTGACCTTGCTGTAAGCTGGCGTCAGTCTTGCTTCAACATGTCATGCCCATTTACTGAATTACTGTAAAGTTTCAAGTGGGTTGTGTGACCAAACAGTGGCATGATTGCAGGAGCAACCGACTACAGTCCACATTGTGAATGATCAGTTGATTTCCAGGCTAGGCTCCTGAGTTGACCTTCTGTGAACAAGAGTGCTCCTTCCATTCGTGGAAGTAATTCGGATCCAATGGAAAGTCCTCTGCCGCCTTCTAAGGCAGTCCTCCCACCACAACCCCCAGGGATATCTTCCACATTGTTTTGAAGGCTCCCCTACAACACTCCTGAGGTTTTTTATGGGCACAACAGGCTTCTGGGGGAAGGAGGAAACTGAGTTTTCAGTGGGGATTTTCTACTAATGGGAATTTTGAATCCAAGCCACTAGCATTTTTTGACACCAGCAGTCACATCCCAGATAAAGAAGGCACACGTCTGATAGTTAACTATAGTCAAGAGAAACACAGCAGCTTCCATGGTGCTCCAGATACACACATGCACACATGCACACTTACAGCCTCTAGGCTGCTGTCCACAGGTATAGACCCTTTGAAACAGTTACAGCAGCTGGGAGACCCCACCCCTCTGTCGTCTTATATACACTTCCCACTTCAAGCCCCTCCTGGTTTAGGAGACAGTGGGGCAGGGCAAAGTGGGGAATCTATGAACTCCTCCCCTGGCTGAACTTTCCCTTCATCTTCCATCACGTCCTGCATGCCTTCCTATGCCTCAGACTGCTCTGACTTTTCCTATCCCTCTGGCTCTTGCCTTGCAGGTGTTGTCGCATCCCACAAATCACAGGTCCCATCTCCTGGGTCACTCTTCTGGTCCCCTGCCTCTGTCCCTAAAACTCAAGGACTGTGTCCAGTTCTAGGCACCA